GAGGGCGGACCGCACCGCCCGGGCGCAGCCTGAGGAGAGGGGCTGACAGGAGGAAGCGCTCAGCGCTCCCTCCTGTCAGCTTCCTTTGCTGTAGCGTGGCTGAGCCCTGCAGCATGCTGGTCCGACGGGTACAGAGAGCAGCTGTCTCCTGTACCCGGCCGGACTAACAGGAAGTGCACACTGAGTGCTCCCTGTACCCGCGGACTATACAGGGCTCGGCCACGCTACAGCAAAGGTAGGGGGGAGGGGAGAAAGAGAAATTAGAGAGGTAAAGAAAAAGAAAAAAGAAAGAGGTAGAAAAAGGAGAATAAGAAAGGGAGAGTGAAAAGAAAAGAAGAGGAGAGTGAAAGAAAAGAAAGCAAGAAGAGTGAGAAAGAAGAAAGAAAGAGAGGTGAGAGAGAAAGAAAGAAGAAAAGAAAGAGGTAGAAAAGAAGAAAAAAAAAGAGGTGAGAAAAGAGAAAGAAAAGGGAGTGAGAAAAGAGAAAAGAAGAGTGAGAGAGAAAAGAGAAAAGAGAATTAGTAGAGAGAAAGAAGAAAAAATAGGAGGAGAGAGAAATTGTAGAAATTAGGAGGGTGAGAAGAGAAAGAAGGGGAGTGAGAAAGAGAAAAGGAGGGGGTGAGAAAAGAAGAGAAAAGAAAGAGGGGTGAGAAAGAGAAATTAGGAAGGGGGAGAGAAATTTAAATTAGGAGGGGGGAAAGAGAAATTAGGGGGGGAGAGAAATTAGGAGGGGGGGTGAGAAAGAGAAATTGGGAGGAGAAGGAAATTGGAGCGGGAGGAGAGATTGACATTCATCACATACACACAATGCACCCCTTGCACACAGAAAAACACACAGACACACATACACAAGCAATGCAACCGTTACACACAATGCATCCCTTACACACACAGAAACACACAATGCATTCATTACACACACTCAATGCACCCCTTACACATATTCAATGCATTCCATACATACACAGAAACACACCTTGCAGCCCTTACACATACAAACACAATTTCACACAATGCATTCCTTGCACACATATCAGGACATCCCCTACACACTCCACCCCCTGTGAACAAACTCATTGGTGGAACATGAAGGTGGACCCTGGGACCCAGACCTTGAGCTGTGTAAAGGACCCCCAAAAAATGGAGCTGCTTCCGTTCTCCCAGAACATTGATTTTTGTGACCACAGTTACAAACAGCCTCCAGAGAGCCTGTTCTACACCAGACCAGTGGAGCCAGACTGCAGCTAGAGCCCATCATCATCCTCATCTGGTTACATAGAAGACACAATCCATTATATTGTGCATTGGCACTAAGCTCTAATTTACCTCACATTAAAGAAACATAGTCCCCAGAACCACTTCCAGCTTAATGTAGTGGTTTACTAATTCTATAACCTGTCCTACAGGCCTTTTAATGTAAACAACGGCGGCACTGCAGCACTGAGGCGTTAGTTAACATAGCCCAAATCATATGGGTGGGGCATTTAGCGGTGTCACATGGAAGTGACAAACTTTACTTTTTTGCCTAGAGGCGTAAAAATCCTTGCACCGGCCCTGGCTGGAGGGGGCTGTGTGAGCTGTGGCCGCACAGTGTCCCATGGTAGTTAGGGTGCCGTGCGGCCAGTACAACTCACACAAGCAAACAGCTGATAAACTGGCCGCACGGAGGAAATGTGTATGTGTGACTGTCTGCCTGTGACTGTATGTGACTGTCTGCCTGTAACTGAGTGTGTGACTGTCTGTCTGTAACTGGGTGTGTGACTGTGTCTGTAACTGAGTGTGTGACTGTCTGCCTGTAAATGTGTGTGTGGGGCTGCAGGGATTTTGTAGAAGGGGGTGGGGGTTTTGTATTGGGACAGGAGTCTTTATAAGGGGGGATAAGCAGGGGATTTGTGGAAGAGGGTTGCGGGGGTTTTGTAGGAGGGGCAGGGCAGGATTTGTAGAAGGGGCAGGACAGAGGTTTTGTAGGAGGGGCAGAAGGGGTGGGACAAAGGGGGTTTTGTAGGAGAGAGAGGGCTGACAGCGGTTTGCAAGGATTTAAAATTGTAAAAAAAAGAAAGAAAACCTTTAACATTTTTTACAGTTTTTTTTGGGGGGGATGGGGGGGGGGAGGGGGAGGATCCACCCAGGGTGCCAAATGCTCTAGGTACGCCCCTAGCAGCATGTGACCCAGCCTCTATATTTAAGCTGGAGTCACGTAGCGCTGCATGTCACATGAGCTCTTATTAGTGTAGGGAGAGGATGCTGCCACTTTCAGGGACAGATTAGGAAAGAATTCTGCAAACTAGTACATTAGTGGGGTGCACTTCATATCTGAGAGTCAAATATAAGCCTCAAATACTGCTGTCACATTGCAGTTTTAAAACGTAAAATTTTTTGGGTGCTAAAAAGTACATTAGTGGGGTGCACTTCATATCTGAGAGTCAAATAGAAGTGTCAAATACTGTGGTTACAGCGCAGTTGTAAAAATTCTAATTGTTTTGGTGCTAAACTGCTAAATAGTAAATTTGGGGCGTGCTCTTCATATCTGAGACTCAAATAGAAGCGTCAAATACTGCGGTTACAGCGCAGTTGTAAAAATCCTAATTGTTTTGTTGCTAAACTGCTAAATAGTAACTTTGGGGCGTGCTCTTCATATCTGAGAGTCAAATGGTAGTGTCAAATACTGCGGTTACAGTGCAATTGTAAACATTCTTATTTTCTGGGTGCTAATCTGCTAAACAGTAAATTTGGGCCCTGCACTTCATATCTGAGAGTCAAATAGAAGCGTCAAATACTGTGTTTACAGCGCACTTTGACAAATTCCCATTTTTTTGCTCCGAAGAAGTACATTTGGGGCGTGCTCTTCATATCTGAGAGTCAAATAGAAGCGTCAAATACTGTGGTTACAGCGCAATTGTAAACATTCTTATTTTCTGGGTGCTAAACTGCTAAATAGTAAATTTCGGCCCTGCACTTCATATCTGAGAGTCAAATAGAAGCGTCAAATACTGCGGTTACAGCGCAATTGTAAAAATTCTAATTGTTTTGGTGCTAAACTGCTAAATAGTAAATTTGGGGCGTGCTCTTCACATCTGAGAGTCAAATAGAAGCATCAAATACTGCGGTTATAGCGCAATTGTAAACATCCTTATTTTCTGGGTGCTAATCTGCTAAATAGTAAATTTGGGCCCTGCACTTCATATCTGAAAGTCAAAGAGAAGCGTCAAATACTGTGGTTACAGCGCAGTTTTAAACATTCAAATTTTTGGGGTGTTAATCTGCTAAATAGTAAATTTGGGCCCTGCACTTCATATCTGAAAGTCAAAGAGAAGCGTCAAATACTGTGGTTACAGCGCAGTTTTAAACATTCAAATTTTTGGGGTGTTAATCTGCTAAATAGTACATTTGGGGCCTGCACTTCATATCTGAGAGTCAAATAGAAGCGTCAAATTCTGCGGTTACAGCGCAGTTGTAAAAATTCGAATTGTTTTGGTGCTAAACTGCTAAATAGTAAATTTGGGGCATGCTCTTCAAATCTGAGAGTCAAATAGAAGCGTCAAATAGTGCTGTGACATAGCAGTTTTAAACATTAAAATATTTTGGCTGCTAAATAGTACATTTGCGGCCTGCGGTGCACTTCATATCTGAGAGTCAGATAGAACCGTCAAATATTGTGCTTACATTGCAGTTGTAAAAATTCTAATTCTTTAGGTGCTAAAACGTCAATTTGGTGCCTGCACTTCATATCTGTGAGTCAAATAGAACCGTCAAATAGTGCTGTGACATAGCATTTTTAAACATTCGCATTTTTGGGCTGCTAAATAGTACATTTGCGGCCTGTGGTGCACTTCATATCTGACAGTCAAATAGAACCGTCAAATACTGTGGTTACAGCTCAGTTTGACCAATTCAAATGTTTTTGAGTGCTAAATAGTACATTGCGGCCTGCACTTCATATCTGACAATTAAATAGAACCGTCAAATACCAATATAACAATATTGTAATTCGGGGGCAATACCCTCACAAGTCAAACTGAGAGCTCAGTTTATAGGGAAAACTGTTGCCTGGATACAATTCTAAAACAATTCCCATATGTCCTTTGCAGAGTTTAAATGCTGGAAAAAGGTGCCAACTGCTGTGGCTTTCTGCAGTGTGCAGACCGGCAAGGAGGGCAGGGTTGAGGAGTGAGTGGAAGATGATGTGGAGGATGATGAGGTCCTAGACCCCACATGGAATCAAGGTCATGCAAGTGACGTGTGCAGTTTGGAGGAAGAGGCGCTGGTCGCACAAAGGGCACCAGCACAGCATAAGAGGGAGCAGGGTGCAAAAGCGGAGTGGCCGTTCCCTAGCACTCGTCGGCATTTATTATCTTTAGAATTCCCACAGTTATCCAAGTAACAGATGGAGCGATAAAATGAACCATAACAGATTTAACGAGCCATTCGCAGTTTCGCAGTCCGGTGACCGGGACCCAGACACTGTCTGGGCGGCAGTCGGACGACCGGGACCCAGTATGCCTGATGTTGAAGTTAGGAGTCACATTGTGGAATGGATTAGCAGGGTTTGATTCAGGGTAACCACACGCCCCCTGGTGTTGAGCACCAGCGTTTGTGCGGCCATATACCAGGACCCTGATGCAGCTTCAGTAAAAAGAGTACTGGATACCAGAAGCCATCACCAGACTGATTCGCAACTTGGAACAGGATGTGACATTCACTGTAGCGGATGTGCGCACTTTCGGCGTTCTCACCCTGCTGCTGCTCGCCTGTCTGCGCTGCAGCATAACTTTGGCCTTCCTGCTCACTACCTCATATGCGACATGCCCACAAGGTGGAACTCCACCTTGCACATGCTAGAGAGACTGTGCGAGCAGCAGCAAGCGATAGTGGAGTTTCAGCTGCAGCATGCACGGGTCAGTCGCTCTGCACCAGACTTGCCCTCCAATTGATCATAGTTAAAGGATTTCAAGTGGACTCATTACAATTACAGGGCATCTAAAGAGTCCTGTAATGTTATTGTCGTCACTTCCTCCCCGCTTCGGGAGTGGGTAATTTGCGCGCCTGCTGCCTTCCTTGGATGTGGTAGCCTTTTCTCAGGCTGCCACTCCGGAATCGAACCCTGATTCCCAATTACCCGTGGTCACCATGGTAGGCGCAGAAAGTGGCATCGAAAGTTGATAGGGCCGACATCTGAATGCAAAGTTGCCATCGCAACTATAATGTCGACAGCTACTCTCCCGAACGGATCTTCACTGAAAGGTAGGGGATGGATGGGGGCCCTGTGCCGTTCTCTTCTCTTCCCCACTCTCTGGCAGACATCTGGCAGTACTGCCTCAGATCCTGAGAGATGCCTGGCCAGAAGAAGCTGTGGGTAAGCCGAGACGCTGTCCGGCTCCTGCCCAAATTCCCTGTCAAGGGGATATCATGAGCTAGCTTCAGCAGCTCTTACCAATACTTCTTGGGTCTGAGGCTGGCGATCTCTCACCAGCCGTATTGTTGGGGAGCCCATTGAAAAAGTGCTCTAGCATTATGAGCTGGATGATCTCCTCCGGGAACTTGGCTTGATGGGAGTTGAGCCAGTTCTGGGTGGCCCTTGTGATGCGGCATGCCCACTCCTCGTGAGAGTCCTTCTCCCCTTTCCGGGTCTCCCTAAACTTTCGGCGGTATTGCTCGGGGGTGACTGCATACCGGGCCAGGAGGATTTGTGTAATAAAGGGATAGTCTCTGATCTGCTCTTCTGGTACAGCCCGGTAAATATCCGCTGCCTTCCCCACTAGTTTGCTGGCCAGGATGGTGACCCAGTCACTGGGGTCCACGTCTTGGAGTAGGCACTGATGCTCAAAATCTTGTAAAAAGTCATCGATGCCTTCTTCTGCTTCCTTGAACTCTTTGAAGGCATTATTTGGTAGCTTGTGGGCCAGGGTGGTTGTGCTTCCCGGCTCCCTCTGCTCCCTTCTTCCTTCATCTGGGTTCATGGAGGTCGCCCTCTGGCTATTGGCAAGGACATAGTCTTGCACCTCCAAAAAGGTCCTGCTGACAATCTCCTCTGAGGATGGCTCTTGGTAATATGCCAGGCGCCGTTCCACCTCCTTGCGCATGTCCTCCTCATCTCCGGCCCCTGGCTGGGGCTCGTTGCCTCACTGCGTGCCTGGTTGTCCTCCATGAGCGCAGCAGTCAATTCGGCCTTATTATTCCTCTGGCTCCACACAAGTCCTGCAGTGCAGGTCGCTTTAGAGCACTGTAGTCCATGGGTCTGTTGGCAGGGACATGGGATCCCGCCACTTGCCACCAATTGAAGCGGAACCAGGATAACCGACGGTTATCCCCTTTGATTAGGATAGGTCAGACCCATTTCCCCAGTAACCAGATGGGACACAGTTCCAGGATACAACGTTTGACAATCTTTATTTGGGTACACAGCTTTGCCTCCTTTTGCTGCCTCCTCCTACTCCGCTTCCTCATCCTCTACCACCTCCTCATTCGGTCAGTGTAACACCTTCACCACCAACTTCAGTATAGCCAGGGGGAAATGACAGCAGGCTGTTTTAAAACTCATATGTTTGGTGAAAAACACCACACCGCGCAGGAGCTGTGGACGGGCATGGAACAACAGACCGATGAGACCTGGTGGTGTGTGATAACAGGCAAAATCTCGTAGCAGCTCTGGGCCTAGCCGGTTTGACGCACATCCCTTGCTTTGCGCATGTGCTGAATTTGGTGGTGCAGAAATTCCTGAAAAACTACCCATATATATCAGAGCTGCGTGCCGTCTGTGCGGGCTTTCGGCCAGCTCACCTAGCTGCTGCTCACCTGTCTGCGCTTCAGCGTAACTTCGGCCTTCCCACTCACCGCTTCATATGCGACGTGCCTTCAAGGTGAAACTCCACCTTACACATACTGTAGAGACTGTGCAAGCAGCAGCAGGTGATAGTGGAGTTTCAGCTGCAGCACGCACGGATCAGTCGCACTGCAGAACAGCACCACTCCATGCGAGACCTGTGTGCCATGTTGCGCTGTTTCGAGTACTCCACCAACATGGCCAGTGCCGATGACGCTGTTCTCAGCCTTACTATCCCGCTTCTATGTCTCCTTGAAAAAACGCTTTGGGCGATGATGGAAGAGGATGTGACACAGGAGGAAGAGGAGGAGGAAGAGGGGTCATTTCCACGGTTATCAGGCCAGTCATTCAAGTGGCTCGGAGAGTGGGTTCCTGCACCAGCATAGGCCAGGTACACAATTGTCCAGCATCTCCACACTATCCCATGGAAGCATTCAGCTGTCCATCTCCCACACACTGGAGAGAAAGAGGAAGTACCCCTAGCCACCCGCAATCCCTGGTCCTGAATGCCAGCATTTCAAAATTCATGGCCTTTGAAATGTTGTTATTCCGTCTGGTGGAGACGGACAGTTTTAAAAACCTGATGGCGTTACTGGACTGCAAGAAATGCACGGCAGGACGCAGATGTTTCTTTTTTTATATGTCCCAATATTTTGGGGGCTACCCCAATTTTAAAAAAATAAATAAAAAACTGTGTTGGCTACCTCCTCCACTGCCGCTTCCACCTTCACCGCCACGGTCACTGCCTCCTCAACCTATGGGTCACTTAGTATAAACTATGTACACAATAGCAGAGGCTTTTTCTCCATGCATCAGGAGTTGAGCATTTCTCCATGCATCAGGACTGCAAGAAATGCTCTGCAGACTGCAGATGTTTCTTTTTTTTATATGTCCCAATATTTTGGGGGCTACCCCAATTAAAAAATATATATGTATATATAAAAAAACTGTGTTGGCTACCTCCTCCTCCTCCACTGCTGCTTCCACCATCACCGCCACGGTCACTTCCTCCTCAACCCATGGGTCACTTAGTATAAACTATGTACACAATAGCAGAGGCTTGTGAAGGCCTTTTCTCAATGCATCAGGAGTTGAGCATTTCTCCATGCAACAGGACTGCAAGAAATGCACCGCAGGCCGCAAATGTTTCTTTTTTTATATGTCCCAATATTTGGGGGCTACCCCAATAAAAAAAAAATACAGTGTTTGCTACCTCCTCCTCCTCCACCGCCACTTCCACCTACACCGCCACGGTCACCGCCTCCTCAAGCTATGGGTCACTTAGTATAAACTATGTACACAATAGCAGAGGCTTGTGAAGGCCTTTTCTCCATGCATCAGGAGTTGAGCTCAGTTTGAGAACAATGAAAGAAAATACCCTGCACTCCTACCCTCTCTCAAGTGGATAATTCTGGTGATCCTTCTGAAAGCCATGCTTTAGATTTTGATTTATGTTCTTCCAAAACTAAAATCAAAGATTCCCTCTAGTGCTATTTTATGGCTCAGCTGTATTTTTAATTTTTAGGTATTTAATGTTATTTTAAGTGATTTCCCTATCCACATTTGTTTGCAGGGCACTTGTCCTACTCTTACCCCCATTTTACTTCAGTTTGCAGCCCTCTAGCCCTTACCAGGACTTTTTTAGAGGCATTTTTGTGCCCAAAAGTTCGGGTCCCCATTGACTTCAATGGGGTTCGGGTTCGGGGTCAAGTTCGATCCTGAACTCGGACTTTTTTTCAAAGTTCGGCTAAACCCGCCGGTCCAAAACATCCAGGTGTCCGCTCAACTCTAATAGTGAGGCATTTATTGAAAGATAATTTTAAGAAATCAGGCATCAGTCCATGTACCTTTAATTAGAAATATACTGAATATTATGAAAATACTGTATATTTCATTATTTAAAACCAAAATTTACACTTTAAAATACAAACACATTTGTGCAGCGAAGAGAACTTTTTTTTTTTAAATACTTGAATATTGCTACCTACATAAAATCTAACACATAGAACAAACACCAACAAAATGAAAATGGAAATGCAAGCTAACCTAAATGTGTACAAAACTCCAATTACAGTTGCTAAGTATTTTATTACAAAGGTGCGGACTTTCTATATACCTTCAACAATAGCCCTTTCATTGCAGTGCAGGATATCAGTGTCATGGATTGAAACCTGAAAATAAATACATAAAAACAAGTCAAATATGTTTGAGTCTCTGGTACTCTAAAATAAAACCACATGTGAGCAAACATGAAAGTAGTAGAGACAGAAATAAAACAAATTAAAATGAAATAGTAATGATGACATGAATTCACAGGTAAATCTAACTGTATTTTAATTGTTATATTTCTTACAGTTTAATTATTGCACCTAATGTGACCTTTAAAGAGGCACTCCAAGCACTGTAACCACGATAGCTGCCTTTAGTGGTCATGCCACCAGGAGTCCAATGGCGCTGTCCCATTGTAAACCAGTCAATCGTTTAGGAGCTGTTTGACACTTACCTGGTTCAGTCAGATTCACTAAGTCAATTGATTAAATGTTTGCTCTGAGGATGTCAGGAAAGGTAAGTTGATACATAATGTTTACTTTTAATTTCTTTTATTTATTTGGTATAGGGTATAGGACGCCTAGCCGGCAATGTTCATGTTTGCCACTAGCATTGCCGATATTCTACGAGTTACCTTACTCTCTATGGGCATCCTGTGACCGAGTGATAGTCCATTATCTATTTACATTACTATTTACTTATTCTCTATTCTCTTTGCTAATTTGCTGCTATATGGGGGGGACTAGTGTCAGAGTAGGCATTTGATAAGCGGTGCCCACGAAGGCACATTAGATTTATCTGTTGCAACCTTACTATACACACTTATTACACCCTTTCCTCTCCTCCCACAGCACCTTTGTTCTAACTATCTTCTAGGGACTTTAGGTGATCAGGCGATCTACACAGACCTTGCTTAACAGAAGCATTCTTATTTTTTGCACACTAGTCTCTTTCTGCAGAAGAATCTAGTTAACCAACTGTGAAGATCATTGCCTGCCAGTGCTGTACAATTGTGCAATGGATATATTTTCTCACCTTTTAGTCCTGATTATTTTGATTTAACAACCAGGTGCTGTGTTAGCAATACTTACTAACCTTAGGGACTGAACATCTCGGTCATCTTTTACCTTATCATTTTTCATATCACTATGATTTTACTAAATGTTTATTAAAAGTTAATTATTACTTTTTCGTATTATATAAACTTTAAAAAAAAGTCTCAGAACTCAGATCTTTGGTGACAATTGACATTATTAAGACAACTACTGGTAGTTATTTTTTTTTTTTCTACTCCACCATTAACCCTTTAGGGGTTACCCCCCATTTTCTTACATTATCTACCAGTACTTAATCTTACTAGGCTCAACTTTTCTTTTCTTTGAAATTAACAGTTACAA